TCCCGATCTTCTTGAGCACGTCTACGCCGGATTTCTTCCCTTTGTTTCTGTTGCCTCTCCAACACCCTCGACAAGTTTGACATTGAGAGTAGAATGTGTTTTCTAAAATCTAAGAAATGAAGGAATAGCTAAGAGATGGTGTGAGAGGTATGAGTTGATGGTGTAGTTTTATAGAGGGATTTAGAAGATAGAAATGACACGTGGCACAATTTAAGAGGATGAAAATCTTATCTAAAATCTGAGATTATAATTTTTTTTAAATATCTGAAAATCTTATCTGACATTTGACACATGACACAATTGTAGAGGGTGAAAATCTTATCTGAAATATGAGATTATAATTTTTTAAAAATATCTGAAAATCTTATCTGACATTGGACACGTGGCACAATTTTAGAGGGTGAAAATTTTATCTGAAATCTGATATTATAATTTTTTTTTCAATATCTGAAAATCGTATCTGATATGGGACACGTGACACAATTTTAGAGGGAGAAAATCTTATCCGAAAATTTAATTACAAAAGATTATCAAAATTAATGGTTTAAAGTATAAAAAAATAGGAAATAAAGTACAATGAATAGTAATTGCCTTAGACTTGTCCTAGACTTTGCCCTTGTAAGTGGAACCACAAATGCAAAAGCTGATACTATTCACATGAATAGTGGCAGCCCAAACTAGGCCACCCTTGTGGGTGGAGATGCTCAATATTTCACGAGAAGGCTTAACCTGTCCTTCTGGGCCTCGCAAAAGCGCCCAGCTTATGCCTAATGCTCTACCGAGAGCTTTCAGTTTAATAACGACGAAACCCTAGAGTGACCTGAATAAAACATCAAAATTGATCATCTTCATCCATCAATCCATTCCGTCCAAAGCATGGCAGCGCTCCACATTCTCAAGAGCCTCAGATCCGCACACCCAATATTCTCTTGTTTATCTTGCAAAAACCTGCTCGCAGTCGAAAGGTTTGCAGTAGCAGATTCACACTTTCCTCTTCAAAATCTATCATTCTGCAGACCCGTCACGACCAAAATCTCAGCAGAGCAAGATGATTATACAGTCTCTTACCTCGTAAACTCATGTGGGTTGTCGCCGGAATCAGCCATTCGAGTAGCCCAGAAGGTAAAGCTGCGATCTTCAGAGAAAGCAGATTCCGTTCTGGCCCTTTTGAGAAACCATGATTTCTCCAACGCCGACATCTCAAAGCTTGTAACGAGACACCCACTAGTTCTCATGGCCGATGCCGAGAAAACCCTTCTGCCCAAGCTTGAGTTTTTCTGCTCCACAGGGATATCAAGGATGGATCTTGCCCGAACTCTGAGCTATGATCCGGCCCTTTTGAAGATAAGCTTGCAAAACCAGATTATACCCGCTTACAACTATCTCAAGAGCTTGCTGCTCTCTGAGGATAAGGTCATGAAGGTTTTGAAGAACAAGCCATGGATTTTCCTGGAAAATCTATCCAAGAACGTCGTGCCCAATATTGAGCTGTTGAGAGAATTAGGAATGCCCTCCTCTCGCATTGCTCTGTTGCTAGCTCATGCTCCGAATATCGTGATGAAAAAGCATGAGTTGTTCAGTGAGATTGTGGGTGAGGTCAAAGAACTGGGATTTGAGCCAATGAAATCGAGCTTTGTGTCTGCCATACGCGTATTGTCTGGGAAGAAGACAATATGGAGCAGAAGTTCAGAGGCTTATAGGAAGTGGGGTTGGTCTGAGGATGACATTCTCTCTGCTTTCAAATTGAACCCCATGTGCATGACCAAGTCAGAGAAGAAGATCATGGAAACAATGGAATTCTTGGTAAACAAGATGGGATGGCCCTCAGCAAGCATTGCAAAATATCCAACGGTCGTGTGTTTGAGTTTGGAGAGGAGAATCATCCCAAGGTGTTCGGTTGTAAAAGTTCTGTTTTCGAAAGGATTGATGGTTGAAGAAAATTTTAGTTTGGCCAGTGTGCTTTGTCCTGCGGAGAAGCCCTTCTTGGAGAGGTTTGTGATCAGATATCTCGACCAAATACCTCAGTTGTCCAATGTGTACCAAGGGAAAGTGGATATCCACGACAGACATGATTTATTGTAATAGTTTCAAATCAAGATTCAACATCAATCAAGAAAACAAATTCAGCGTTTTTCTTTAACAATTAATTTGATTTTAGTGTTATAATTATGGTTTTTCATTGTCATTGAGGTTGTCATCAATGCTGAAGTAAAATGGTAAAACTTCCATTTTGTCATTATCGAACAAATAAATAAGATAGCGGTGACACTTCAGACAAGCGTGGGGATGTAGCTCAGATGGTAGAGCGCTCGCTTAGCATGCGAGAGGTACGGGGATCGATACCCCGCATCTCCATATTTCTCCCTCTTTGTTTTTCGCGTGTGGTTTTCTATTGACTTGAAAACCACGCAGCTTTACATGGAAATTTTCTTTTCTTTTCTCTTTGCTAATTTCCCTAGAATTTTTATTACATACACGAAGTTCTGATTTCATGATTGTATGTTGGGCTCAATTGGAATTGCAAGTCAAGTCACTGACATGCAAAAAGGATACGAAATTAATGGAAACGATGAAAGTTTTGTGCTCAACTTATCAATACTGTAATTATGTAGTTGAAATTCTTAGGTGATCATGGCTATGGTTTCTTTCTACAATTGCTCTTTTTAGCCATCACGAGAAGCTACCTGGTCACCTCGACAAATACAGAGTCTGCAATTTCATCTTCTGCAGATAGACAAACATTTATGTTTGAAAAAAGTACCAACCTTTCAAATCCTGAATTATGTTGTCTAGTTTTCGATTTTCTTTTACCAACCAATTGAAAGATGAGCTTCGATATTTATGTGACTTAATACTGGAACACTTTGAGAACCTATTTCGAGACGAAAAAACCTCATTAGTCAGTTATCATTTTCTAATTGATTGTATGTTACAATTTTTTCATTTGAAAGTACAACATGAAGTTTTTCTGAAGTATTAGACCTGAGAAAATATCAAGTTAGAATGAGACAATTTGGGCAAGTTATGCGTGGGATTGGACTCATACACATGCTTTCAAGATCTGTGTTGGACCCAAGAGTTTTGTAGTCTTGGTACAAGCCCAAGTTGCAAGTCCGTCCATCCAGATTCTAGCCCAAAAACACTGCTTACGTACGTTGAATTGAAGCCGTTGCAGAAGCAGAAGGCAGGCCAACTTGCAATAAGCTCCTTCATCGATTTGTGCTATTTACATTTCAGTCAGTCTCATCTCTTCTCTCTCACTCTGTGTATAATATGTAAATATTTGTCTGCATAGAATTCCGTTCTATAATGGTGGGGAGGAGGAGGAAGCCTCTGGTACTCACTTCCACCAAAACGCTAATCAATTCCGTACTGAGCTTGTCGCGACCGAGTGAAGACCACCGAGTCGACGATGCCGATGACGCGTCGACTAGCTTACAGTTGCCGCCGGGAATTCTCCGAATTTCTAAGGACAAAACGGCCATTTCAAGCCCCAAATTGGCTTCTTTCGACGACTCTGCTTTGGTGGGGCTTTCCACTTCTGTCCTCAAAAGGCTCTCTATCACCTCAGGCTCACTGGTAAATTATTCCGATGCTCATTCATATACTCTGTGTTTTCCTTTCCCTTAAAGTTTCCTGCTTTTGTTTGGTTGCCGGGAAAATGACTGAAAGGACAAGAATTTACACTTGAACTCAAATTAAATTACGCAATTAAAGACTTAAGTTATCCATTTTTTGCTTTTTTAAGACAACTGAATTTCGTTAATTGCTTTAGAATCTTTGCCTTGAGATTATAATGCAAACTATGAGCTAGTAACTGAGACCAAGTATTCCATGTTTTTTCCTTTCTCTGGTTTGGCTGGATTTTCAATACACAAGGTGGTTGTAAAGAATGTCGAGACAAACATACAAAGAACCGCTCAGGCCATTGTTCTGGATCCTCCGAACAGCCATGACTGCGCCACAGACGTTGAACCATCCTTGTCTCAAGTTTCTCACACAATGCTTATTTTGCCATCTTATACTTTCCCTGAAAATGCCCATATGTCGTTAAACCGGGAAGTTGCCTATATATCGCCTCTGTTAGCATTTAACCTTGACTTGCACACATTGTGCTTGAAATCACTCGTTCATAGAGGGGAAGAGACTCTGGCATCTTATTTTGGAGTTAGAGTGGGTGATGAGGTGAGTGGGAAAGGCATTGAGGCTTCCCTAGTTGGATTACTGTTGGAACCTCAGCCTCAGTTGCCGAGATATGCTTCACACTTGAGAGCTTCTTTCGTGAAGATACCGGAATGTGGTACACTTGACTCTCTTAAAGGAAATTCTTCCGTTGATTATGAAGATCGTCAAGAAATGATAGATTTGGCATTACAGAACTACTTTGGAGTTGATAGGTATCTAGCAAGAGGTGATATTTTCAGCATTTGTATAAATTGGAATTGCAAGTCAATGATGTGCATTCCTTGCAACCAAAGATCGCAAGATGGAAGCGATAACATCTATTTCAAGGTAACTTCTCTGTATTGTTCTTCCTATTAAAAAAGAAATCTCAATGTTGTTCTCTGGTTACTTTTATACTCAACGCATGTTATAGCGTACCAAGTCCAATCACAATGTAAATTTATATTGCAAGGTTGTGGCTATGGAACCTTCAGACGAACCCATTCTTCGAGTTAATTGCTCTCAAACGGCCCTCGTGCTTGGAGGAAGTGTCTCTTCTTCTGTTCCTCCAGATTTGTTGATTGCTGGACAACAAGGTTTTGCACCTTTGCAAGGGGACACAGTGAAAATATTGGCTTCCGTACTTATGCCACCTCTCTGCCCCTCACCACTATCTTCAAAGTTCAGAGTTTCAGTTCTATTGTACGGATTGGCAGGTATGTTCGGTCTTTTCTTTTGCAGTTTGATTTTGATGGTGGCATTGATTTTTTAAGTTGACAAGGTTTCTAACAAGTTTGCTAATTGGTAACCATATGCAATGTTCTTTAAACCTATTACCAGTTATGAAAAATGATGGTTACGAAAAACTGCTTGTTTTGGATAAGATATGTTTTTCATGTGCACATGTGTGTAGTGTTGTTGGGTACTGATTCAGTGCTTGCTGCAGGATGTGGGAAGAGAACGGTTATTAGATATATCGCTCGTCGATTGGGCCTGCATGTAGTTGAATATAGTTGTCATAATCTAGTGGCATCATCTGAAAAAAAGATGTCCATTGCACTAGCTCAAACCTTGAATACAGCTCAAAGGTGAACCAGTAAAGTGTTTAGTTGTCGCACAATTTGTTAGTTACTTTGCTGTAGTACTCTTATTTATACTTGACAAGTCAGCCACAGTTCTATGCATCCTTGTTAAATGTTTATGTTACTATTATTATTGTTAATTCTGTTTCACTAATTATCTATACATCATTTATTCCAACTTATAAGAGAAACCGGTCTATGCTATTCTATCCTTGTTTTGTCCCTCAACCATTCTGTCATTTGATGGGAGAAATATCTCAGTTACATCTGGAAATATACTAATATTATTGTACTTGATTGTCCTTATTTATCGTTCCCTCTTTTTTTTTTCCTTATGCCAATTTTTCAATCAGATACTCGCCTACAATACTTCTTCTCCGTCATTTTGACGTTTTCCGGAATTTGGCCTCTCACGAAGGTTCACCCAATGATCAAGTTGGCATCACATATGAAGTTGCATCACTTATCAGGGAATTTACTGAGCCAATTTCTGATGATGGAGACATTGATTCTGAAGGAAAATGGAATGGTGATATGGTAAGATGCAAATGTTTTAGTGCCACATATCTTGGTTTATGGATACTTAGATAACCTAGGAATATTGATTCTCACAAATGATCAGTAGTTGAATAATGAACTTCTAGTGCTCCTGTCCCTCTTTCTTATGCATGTGAGTGTGTCTTAATCTTTAACTCTTTTGTATGTTATTTTTAATCTTAATAACCAAATTCATAATGGAGCATGTGCAGGATGCTGGGAAGATAGGTAGGCATCGGGTGCTGTTAGTTGCAGCTGCTGACAGTTCTGAAGGTCTACCACCAACTATTAGACGTTGCTTTAGCCATGAAATAAGTGTGGGTCCTTTGACTGAAGAACAAAGGGTTAAAATGGTGTCACAGTCTCTGCAAACGACCTCTGAACTCCTTTCTAATGTATGTGAACAGATGTGTTGTTTCTCTGTACCTTTTGTGTGTGGTTTTTATAGAAAGATAACCGTGATGCATAAGCTATTCCTAAAAGCTTAAGACACTAGGATGTTGGTGAATAATTATGATTCTGACACTCCGCTCACATGTGAGCATCTCTCCAGCACTAGAACTCAACACTGTGAAACTTATGTTGAGAGGGTTCCAATTTCGGGGATTCAAACTCAGGATCTCTTGTTATAATACCATGAGCAATTTTTTGGTTTCCCATTATTTCTCAAAGCTTCAACTGTTAGGATGTGACCAACAATATTTTTATTCTAACAGCCCCCTCTAGTTCAATTGATGATTCATCACCTTCTATTACATGGGAAAAGCTTATCATGGGTGCACCAAGCATTGAGATTACTCAAGTGTGTCTTTGGTAGCATTTCTTTATTTGAATTCCTGAGGCAGTGTTATCAATTGTCAAAGCTATTTATCTGTATCGCTTTTGAATTCAAAGCTTTATGTGAATTTTGAAATCCATAAAGCAACAAGTCGTATACCCTTTATAGAAATTGAAGTTAATCTTGTCCAGATAAGTTGTTATAAGATCTTCTACTTAGGAATACTCTACTTGGTATTAATTGTAGTTTTTTCTGATCATAACTGGTGACTTTGATGGATCAGATTGTTGTTTTTTGCAGACTGGTTCAGAGGATTTTATAAAGGATATGGTTGGGCAGACATCTGGCTTCATGCCTAGAGATATTCGTGCTTTGATTGCTGATGCTGGTGCAAATTTGATTCCCAGAGGCAATGTTCCAATTGACACCGTTAAGTCAGAGGAATCGGATGGATCTCTCAGAGCTGATATGGAACCGGACAGTAAGTCCTCCGAAGTTGCACCTCAGGTTCTGGGGAAAGAAAACTTGACTAAGGCATTGGAGCGCTCAAAGAAAAGGAATGCATCGGCCCTGGGTACTCCAAAGGTAATTCAGAGACAAGACTAACTTTGCTACAATATTATATCCTTGCTAAAGAGCTTTACCGCTAAAATCAGCAAGCAGGGAATTAGTAATCTTATGTAACATTTATGATGTATATAAAGGAATTTTCAAGTCATTTTTCCTATAGGTCCCTAATGTGAAATGGGAAGATGTTGGCGGTCTTGAGGATGTGAAGAAATCAATTCTGGATACTGTTCAGGTAAGTTCTCTTTGTACCTCTAAGCCCTTTGTATGTTCATCTTTAGATACATATAACTCTAGAACACTTTTTATGTTTCATTAAATTCCAAATCATTTTTATTTATTTTTTTAGTTTTAACACGTCTTCCTTTAAAGGCAATGACACTGAATTTGAGAGGACCAGAGTTCTGGCACAGAGAGAGAGAGAGAGAGAGAGAGAGCGATGTCCTTTTTACCTGTTGTCCATTAGCAAGATTCCAGTAGTTGGCAGTTGGAAGGCTCTTTTATTGTACTCAGTTATTTTTTGTTGTATTTGTAGTTACCTCTTCTGCACAAGGACTTGTTTTCATCTGGTTTACGGAAGCGTTCCGGTGTTCTGTTATACGGGCCACCCGGAACCGGGAAAGTAAGTTACTGTCAAACTGTTTTGAGGACTTCACTTACCTTATGGGTTTTGACCGCCTTTGTTTTGCTTACTTCAAACCTCAGACTTTATTGGCAAAAGCTGTTGCAACTGAGTGTTCCCTGAACTTTCTCAGCGTAAAAGGACCTGAACTAATCAATATGTACATAGGAGAGTCAGAAAAAAATGTTAGAGACATTTTCCAGAAGGTAAAACATTCCACTCCGATCAGTATCCCTTCAATGGAAGAAGCTTATGGTATTGGTTATATACTTCAATTTCAGAACATCCAACTTAACTCACAATAAGTGAAATTGCACATACTTTGCAGGCCAGATCAGCACGCCCATGTGTTATATTTTTTGATGAACTTGATTCTCTTGCTCCAGCACGGGGTGCCTCTGGGGATTCTGGGGGTGTTATGGACAGAGTGGTTTCTCAGGTGAAGTCTCCCTTGTTTTTTTTAATGCCTTCAACAGAATATGTTCTTTAGTTCCATGATGTTTTCTTAATGAGATAAGTTTTCTGTTTTGCTAGATGCTGGCAGAGATTGACGGGCTAAATGATTCAACACAGGTCATTTGTTCTATCTAATATACCTGCTTTTCATTTTGATACTATTGTCCTGATAAAGAAACTAAACTCATGTTTCTTTTTGTTTATTTTAGGACTTGTTTATAATTGGAGCAAGTAACAGACCAGATTTAATTGACCCAGCTCTTCTACGGCCTGGACGATTTGATAAGCTGCTGTATGTTGGAGTTAACTCCGATGCATCTTACAGAGAGCGGTTAGTATTCTCGTAATTTCGATTTCATTCTTTTATAATCCATACTTCATGAGTAAATAAATTACGTCTGTTCCAAAAATAAAGAAACAGATCATGCATACATCATTAGTGTGATGAACCTTTTTTTAAAATTTTGTTTGCATTTCTTCATCTCTTCTAGGGTCCTCAAAGCACTTACCCGAAAGTTTAAACTACATGAAGATGTACCACTTTACTCAATAGCAAAGAGATGTCCCCCGAACTTCACTGGTGCAGACATGTATGCCTTGTGTGCAGACGCTTGGTTTAATGCAGCAAAGCGCAAGGTGAGTCAAGTCAACCCAAAAACTGGATGTTTGGTTCCGATAAACTAAACTATTAGTACATGTTATCTGTTATTTGGGGTGTTAAATGATAGTTAAGAGTTGAAGTGCATTGACTTGGGGTCTTTATAGTAGTTGACTGTATAGTCTGATTATTACTGCAAATTACATGTTTTATTTCTGTTAAAGTTGGGAGTATCCAACCCAAAGACAATTAACAAACTGAGTTTATGCTGAGATAGAAAGCATAGATAACCAGTTTAGGACTTTGTATTCTCAACAATATCGTGGACTTTTCTTATTGACACTTGATTATTCACAAGGTAGAAATTTTGGTCATAATACTTGGGTAGATAAGGAATGCTCCCGTATCGACTGACGGTTGGTTTTGTGTAGGCTTTGAGTTCAGGTTCAGATGCTTCTTGCATGGATGACCAGTCCGACTCTGTTATTGTTGAGTATGATGATTTTGTCAAGGTATGGCAATTGTTTTCTCCACTACGTTTGAGGGAAATTATGAATAGTTGTGTGTTTTACAGTACAAAGCAATGCTCTAAATCCTGTTTCCAGATTATGGCCTGACTGCCTTGTCCTAACGTGTTAGGTGTTAGGGGAGCTTTCTCCCTCCCTCTCCATGGCCGAGCTTAGGAAGTACGAGTTGCTGCGAGATCAGTTTGAAGGAGCTCCCAAGTAAACCCCCCTCATATTAATATGAATCTGAGGGGAATTGAAATTTTGAACCATTTGTTGCATACTCAACTGTATATGATATCTGTTTGTACTTGGAGAGAAAAAGGAAAAGAAAATATAAAATAAGACAGAAAATAAAGAAAGAGTGAGTATTACTATTCCCATTGCATAATTCTTAAGATATATCATCCCAATAAATAAATAATATGTTGTTGCAATCTGATCTGAGTGACATTGGATAGTGGAATTTAGAGGGCACAAATCCAATCCAAGCATATTCTTTCATGATTAGCAACGAGTATATTCCAACAAAAACCAAACCTTTCTTTCTCCTGCAACTATTATACAGAGAAGAAAGGCATCCTTCTCCTCCCAACCCAAACCTGTTGTGTAGGACCCAATTATAATTATTGATTTGATTATCAGATAACTCAGCCAGGCACGTGCTGTCTGTGCTACAATTCTATTGCCTAAGATAAGGAATCCAAAAAAAAAAAAAATTTAATTAATTAATTGTTGGCTGCTGTTAATGATCTTATCTATTTTCTGTTGCTTGACTTTATGCCTTTAATTAATACTTGTTACTGATAATAATATCATCCTTTGGATTTATGTTTACCTTAATAATTAATTCCAACAGTAACAGGAACAGGATCATTGTTCATAAATCTGTTGTTCTGTTATAGGATCATTGTTCGTGTACGTTAACTGTTATATTGTCTGTTCGGACTTTGGACTTTGGACGAACGAATCACAGGAGTCACGTATGATATGAATCATGAATCATGAAGGATGGATGATATATGATCATAGTATATGTATAATGTATTTGTCAACTCAAGTTGGTTACAAACCTCAAAACAGCATCTTGTCTGCACATGATTTGCATTGCATTGAATTGAATTATTGTTTTCCACGACAAGGTGAAAAAACACACAGCACAAGCAGAACCACATAAATAAAGGGAGCCTCAGGGACATTTTTGTCCCAGAAAACATGTAACCAGAACGAAGGTCAGCCAGCGCTTCTTCTCCTCTTCACCAACCGAACACAGCATGTATGTATGTACGTTACGTACCTCTTTGTTTATTATTTACTTTTCTTTTTGTGGTGAAATGAAAACAGTAAATTTCTTTTTCTTTTGGTTGGTGGGTGGTGTCACTGTCAATGTGGTTAAAGTGAAACACTTGGGTAAATAATCAATTTTGTAAAATAAAAGAGCGTGTTGGATTCGCCAGCTGACAAGTGGCTCCGTGGACAGTTTTCGCCGCCAGACGCTTTCCAAAAATCTTAGAACACAACTTCCACAAGTGCAAATGACAAAGTTACCGCATAATAAAAAATTATTGGAACGGCAAAAAAAAAAAAAGGGTAATAATTTTTCCACTTTAATTTTATCCATTTACATTCCTTTTTTAGTTATAAAATGGAGTGTAAGGGGATAAAATTAGAGTGGGGAAATCACCACTCATAAAAAAAATAAGGCCAAAAGTCACTTTTAGTCCCTATAGTTTGACACTTCAATCACTTTTGACCTTGTAGTTTCAATTCCATCAATTTTGTTATTGTAGTTTCATATTTGTAGCAATTTAAGGACAATCTTAATTTCTGTCAAATTATTCTTACCTTCTATTATCTATTCAGGGGTATTTCGGTCCAAACTTGCATACCCTCCCCAACAAGCCAACACTCAAGAACAGTACCACCCAACCCCAGCCAGCTACAATACCCCTATAACTAACGCCCACCATAGCCTCCCAAGGCCACCCCAACCCCATGATATCATGGACTCATAGATCTAATGTATTTAACAATTTGTGCAAGAAAAGTACTGAATGTTAAAATAAATAAATAAATAAAGCAACAAGAACACAATTAACAATTGAACAAAAACATAAGGAACCCAAAACATAATTGGGCTAAAATTAGAGGGGCAACAGGTCTCCACAACCACCACCAAAAGTTCCACTTCCAATCTCTACTCAATTTTCATTCTCTTTCCCAACTCGATCTCATACAGATTGCTTGGAGATATCAGTCGATCTTGGGGAAACTATTGGAACATAGCTCTCGGCTTGCTAGCTTATGCCTTGTGCATTTGTTGGGGTTGGGGAAGCCTTGGGAGGCTGTGTTGGCTTTCAGTTACAGGGTGTGGTGGCTAGCTGGGGTTGGGTGGGATTGCTAGTGACGGTTGGCAGGTTGGGGGAGGGGATGCAAGTTTGGACCAAAATACCCTAAATAGATAACAAAAGTTAGAATAATTTGATGGAAATTAGAATGGTCCTTAAATTGCTACAATTATGAAACTACAATGGCAAAATTGAAGGAATTGAAACTACAAGGTCAAAAGTGGTTGAAGTGCCAAACTACAAGGATCAAAAGTGACTTTTGACCAAAAAATAATGATAAACCAAATTTAACCAAACTATTGATTATACTTAGCCGAATTTACATTTTCTAATAAATGGGAAAGTGGTCTCATATCGAATTAATTAACCATTAAGTGAGCTTATACTAAGCGATCAATTTATAATTTGTTATACTTAAGGAAATCAAAGAAATATAATGATTCTTTTAAGACAATCGATACAACTACCTAATTGTTTTTTTTTTTTCTATGATTCTAAGAGTTTAAATCTAAACACAGCAATAGACTTAAATCTAAACACAGCAATAGATTCCAAGTTCAAATTTGCCCTTCCCGCCTCATAAAAAAGTAGGGAACAAAACATTTATAAATTTTATTAACTATATTCATTCACCATATAATATGATCTTTAGAATACAATAAGTACATATGTCAAACATTTCATACAAGATAAGTATATACATGCCAAACATTTTATACAAGATTCTACTTCATAAATGGTCTAGATTTATAGTCAAACAACACAAATAAGATTCTACTTTATCAGTGGTCCAAATTTACGAGATTTTGCCGAATCAATTGTCCAAATTCACAAATTATACATAACGTTCAAATCAATGGCCCGAATTTACAGTTTGCTAGCATATCATTATATACAGTTCATAGAAGATAACACCTAATTAGTAACCCCACTTACAATTAAGATAACACTTAATTAGTTCAATTAAGATATTGAGTAATCAAAATTTATTTACAAGAGTACACTTAATTAATGACACAAATTTTTAGTTTGACAATATTACTTGCGACACATTTCAAACAATAGTCTAACTACTAAATGTCCAAAATTTACAGTATGTCAACATGACGTGTCAGATTAAATGGTAAGAAAAATAATCCTTTTAATCCAATGCCGAATATACTTCTTTTTATATATAGATATTTTTATAGACAGCTAGTTACGTATCTAGCATAGTGTAACAATCTTGACAAGGTATATTTTTAAACACCCTAGGGTTTTTAAAGTAACCGGGTCATGCTTTTATTCATTATTTATTTCAATGTTAGTTTTAAGATTTTCTTAACAAAATGCGTTTCAAGATAGTTATAGAAAATAGATCTAAATCCCAACATGCAACTACATAGACAAATAAAGTAAGATATAGTGAAAAATAAGATATTACGTCTCGTGTAGAGATTGATTCTGTTAAAAAAAGGTTTAAATGAACACACCCATAGTTTATTGTTGAACATTCCTGTAATCATAATATCACAAAAGTCACGTGTGTAAAAGAAAATGGTACATATATGTTAATACATGCTCTTGAGTATAAATTTTTGATGGTTTAATTGTTTATATTGTGTTTATGTAAGAACAACTTAGAAGCCACCACCACCACAATTTTCACATTCTTGCTTTTCTCTAGAGTCAAACAGGGTGAAGCGTGTCGCCACGCGCATCTGATTGCGTCTTACATTGGAAATCCAGGTGCTGTCAGGACATAAAAAAACATGAAATAGAGGGCTGAAACTCTAATAAAGGAAAGTATGTTACCGGGAATGTAAACGGTGAATCTGACCCTCTTTTCTCCATCGTCTCTCCCCTCTGGTTAGATCCCGGTTCTTTCCTAATTCTATGTGGCCACCTAAAATATATAAATAATTAACTATTTTGCTTCAAGAGAAAGAAAAAAAAACCAGAAAAGAAAAGAAAAATTGAAAAAAGGACCGGCTGCTGTAGACACCAAAACCCAGAGAGAGAGAGAGATAGAGAGAGAGAGAGGGGGAGTTCTGTTTAATCAATTTCAACTCCTATAGAATTTGCACGCAGAAAGTGTCTCCAAAGAAGTTTCACGCACAAGATTGTTGTGGTCAAATTCGTGGTTTTCAGAAACCAGTTAGTTTTTTTAATTCGTTTTAATTTGGAATAATTCGGTGGTTGTGAATTTGGGGTTAGGATATTGATTTTTGGGGTGTTTGTGTGATCGGGTCTGAATTTGATTGATTAGGAGAATTCTGTTGAATGGGTCGTAGAGAGTTTCGGGTTTTTGATTAGAAATTGAAGGCTTTGAAAGGTTGGGGTTGCGTGGATGATTTCTGTGGGGACAAGGGATGCGAGGAAGGAGCTAGGGTTAGGGTTTGGTGGTGGGAGAGAGATGGAGGATACTGAGCTTGAAGAAGGCGAAGCTTGTTCTTCCCATATCAATGAATACGATCCCAACATCGACCCTGATGTTGCTCTCTCTTACATCGTAAGCATATAACATAATACGTGCAGATATGAATATACATGTGTGTATGTGTACTTTTTGTTGCATACAAGCTTGATCCTAACATGAATATTGGTTTTGAATTGCTTTGAATTTTTCGGGTTGACTTGTACTGATGTCTTAGATCCAAGCTTCGGAGTTTGATTGAATTTGAATTTTACTTTGATTGTGTTAAAATTTTAAGGGCACCGAATGATATAAGTACTTATCTTAAATTATATTGTATAAACTGTAGTTTAGAACTTCATAATTGTTTATAGGGAGCAGAAACTGTAGTTTAGGACTTCGTTACTTAGCTCATGCTTATTGTAATGTAATTGCGACATTAACATATCATAGTTGTCCACTTTGTAATGCAAGGTAGTATCCCTCTTTGGCTTATGGTAGGGCATGACAATGCTGTTTTGAGGGATTGGTTCATTCGAATAATTGTTTTCTATGCAGAACTTACTGATTATGGTAACAGTTTACTATGGCATATAATGTGCCTTGAGTTCTATTCAGGTTTGGAGTCTTTAGATCTATGTTGCCCTCCTGTCTAGTTATGAGTTAGTGCGGTTGTGAAATTTGAATGTTATAAATCAAGTTAGGTGGATTTATCTACGATAACTTCAAGTGCAATGCATGATCTTTCGGAATTTGAAACTGGGTGTTTAGTTTCTGCGTAAGTGTTGTAGGGTCGTGAAGTGTAATTGTTTTAGGGTATTAATAGTTGGTAGTTCTACAATGTAGTATCTTAAATCTTAAAGATGCCTAAAGATTTTCTAGCCCTTGTTATCACTTTTTGTCTCTTTATATGAGCTTGTCATTTTAATGACTCATACTGCTCTGTCTGGTAATAGGATGATAGGATTCAAGATGTTTTGGGACAGTTTCAGAAAGATTTTGAAGGTGGGGTTTCTGCAGAAAATTTGGGTAAGTCAATAGAAGGGAATCACACTTTCTCTTGTGCTTAAGAGATTCATTACTTTGAAGTTCCTCTCCTTTAAGTAATGAATTGGCGATCAATACATTGCAACAGGGGCAAAGTTTGGTGGGTATGGCTCATTTTTACCTTCCTATCAGCGGTCTCCAGTGTGGTCCCATTCGAGGACTCCACCAAAGGTTCACAACTACAGCTTACCCAAATCCCCTTACAACGTGAAACTTGAGGTATCAATTCTATCAGCTTTTATGTTTATTTTTATTTTTTTCTGATTTATTTCTAATCCTGTACAGAGGAACCAACGTCGTTTATTGGTTTATTTGACAATTCTCAGTCATCTTTGATTATTTTACTGCACAGGGTGGTCAACGTAACAATGTAGTTTGTCATACTACGCCTCAGTCAGTGGGGCTTGGGCCTGCTTCAACGGGTTCCACTTCGCTGGTTGCACCAAAGGCGCCATCAGTGAACGATCCAGTCAAACAAGAAGGAAGCATGTCATTAGATCTAGCTGACCAGTACGCTCCTCGACATGAATCTGCAAACAAGAAAGCTATTAGTTTATCGGACCAGAAAACACTGAAGGTGCGAATTAAAGTGGGATCGGATAACTTGTCGACACGAAAAAATGCTATCTACAGCGGGCTTGGCCTTGATGGCACACCGTCTTCCTCGCTAGATGATAGCCCTTCCGATAGCGAAGGAATATCTCATGAGCCTCAGGATGCCCTATTTGAATCTCCCACCAGTATTCTTCAGGTGAATCATCTCCCTGTAACATTCAGATGTTTTCTGTATTTGAACTTAATGTGCTTAAACTGAAACATTTCTTTTCATCGTGCTCTGGAGTAGATTATGACATCCTTTCCGGTGGACGAGGGTATGATGTCACCTCTTCCTGACGACCTTATTTACTTAACTGAAAAGGAAAAGCTCCTAAAAGAGGGTAGATCTGTGACTCTTCCAAGGGATAGCTGGGAAACGTCTGGCTCCCTAGCGAATGGAACTCATACCATAGAGGGTGGTGGGAAATTGTCAGGGCAGAGGAAAACAAAATCTGTTGAAAGAAATGATTTTTCAGCAGAATCAAAGAATGGGAATAATAAGGATGGAATTGGGCTCCTGTCAAAGAAGGAACATGATGTGGACGCGTTTGCTTGTGAGGAGCTTGTTTCTAAAACCTTGCAGCTCCCACTTCTATCCAATTCATTTGCTACTGTCAGTGACGTGATGAAGAGCAAAGAACTGGATAAGAAATATTTATTGAAGGATGGTCAAGTAGAAGATGAATCAATGGACCCAATGTCCAACCAAGAGGATGCCTGGGTTGAAAAGCGAAAATCCATTTTGGCTGGAAAGGTTCAGGAAGATAGAAAAGTAAGCTCCAGCGATGATGTTTTGGTTCATCCAAAGAAAGAGGGCCCTTGTAGACGAGAGAAAACTTATGAATCAGTGAAAGGTGACTTAAATGTTTCTAAAGGGAGGAAAGCTTTAAATACTGAAGTCATGGACCATTCAAAGCAGAGGGTCAATCAGAGGGCTACATCCCATGAGATAGATGATACGAGACTAGTTTCTGGGAAGGAGTATCCATTACCTGCAGAGAAAAAGAAATCGAAGGAAGGTCACAGGACCCTGGTTGCAGAGTTGCCAAAAGAAAGCTCGAGGGTTGGTTCCTCTTCAGGTCCCAAAATGAAGAGCACTCATGTGAACAATTCTAATACTGATCCAGAAAACTTCAAACTATGTAAAGATCTTGATAAAATCAGGGATACAGACACAGGTTTATTTGGGGATATTGATGACGGGAACCAAATGGAATTATTTGAGTTTCCTTCTGAAGATAAGCTTAAGGACTCCGATACTGTTGCAAAAAGCACATCTGCAGTTAACAGTGGATCAAGGGAGAGACCAAGTGGCAAGAAAATCGATAAACCAGCTTCAAATATAGCCCCACGCTTTGGAAATGGACCAATTTTTGCTGCAACTCCTGCTGCAGGGCCTCCTGCACTCATAGAAGATAATTGGGTATGTTGTGACAAGTGTCAGAAATGGCGGCTTCTTCCACATGGTACAAACCCGGACAACCTACCTGAAAAGTGGCTGTGTAGCATGCTTAATTGGCTGTAAGTTACTTTCTAGTAGGCATTTTCTATTCTATAGCTATTTTCATTTCATTACAATGTATATCGACAAAACCTGGAGTGGTATTTTGATATATGTCAGTTTAGAAATTGTTAGCGACTGTTTGTTCCAATCTCTCTCTCTCTCTCTCTCGGAAGCTTGATGTCTTGATTCAAATGCAGGCCTGGGATGAATCGGTGTAGTGTAAGCGAGGAGGAAACAACAGAAAAAACAAAAGCTCTAATTGCGCAGTGCCAAGTTCCTGCCCCTGAGAGCCAAAATAATGTGTCCAGAAATCCTGGTGGGTTTATGGAAGGAGAGGCATTGCCTAAGTCTTGGAACCCTGACCAAAACCTCGAAAGTTTTGGTTTGCATGCCATGCCTAGTGGCGGAAAGAAAAAAAATGGACCAAAAGAATTGTCAAATGCATCTAATAGAGATGGTTCCGTTCAGTTGCCAAACTCCATGAAGAAAAACTTACAGGCATCAGTGAAGAGTAGAAGCTTGAATGACGTGAACCAGTCTCCATTGCTAAGTGAATTAGATTTGCAGCAGCTAAGCAAATCCAGTGACATGGCAGTGGAGAAACGAAAGCATAAGTACAAAGAGAAGCATAAAGTTTTAGAGCCCTCTACCAATGGAGGTACGTATATGAAGCAGTGATTTTTTGTGCTTGGAAGACTTCCTTAATTATGTTGAATGCTATTTACTTATTAATAAAGCATGTTAAAACAGAAACAGGTGATATCATGAATTTAAAGATCAAGAGCAGAAGAGACTCCGATCCAGATTCTTCTAGAGCTTCCAAGAAAATCAAGACTGAAGTTAAGCGTATTACTGATGAAGAATGGGCGTCAGACTACAGTGTGGCAGTTGGGGAGGTAGGTCCTAGCTCAAGTAGTGGTTTTCGGACTGCTGCAGCAGGGAAGGATCAAATTAAGAATAGGCCACAGGCAATTACAAAAGCAAAAGATGAAGTTTTAGATAATCGATCCTTAGATACGGGAACTTGTGATTCTAAAGGTAGATCAAAAAAGAGAAAAGTGAAGGAATTCCCCGATACTCAAATTCATATGGGTTCCATTCCCGCTACAGGGAGCTATGTGCAGGATCGTTCAGTCGTTGCAAAGGAGGAGTTTAGTGAGAATGACTACAGGAAGGAAAAGAAGGAAGCAAAGGTAGTGGTAGAACAGACAAAAAAAACAGCCATACAAAGAATCAACAACTTAGAAAAGATATAAGTAGTGGTCTAACTCACCGGAGTAGGAATGGTACGGATTCTTCGAAAAAAGATTTGGGATCTGTACAGGTTCCTATGGCTGCCACTTCAAGCTCTTCCAAAGTTTCTGGTTCCCAGAAAACCAAATCCAGCTTTCAGGAAGTTAAAGGTTCACCAGTAGAATCTGTTTCATCATCACCTATGAGAATCTTGAATCCTGATAAGCTTACATCAGTACACAGGGACCTCATGGGAAAGGATGAGGCACAAGATGCTGGTCATTTTGCAATAGGTAGCCCAAGAAGATGCTCGGATGGTGAAGATGATGGTGGGAGTGATCGATCTGGGACAGCAAGGAGGGACAAATTTTCCACTGTGGCTAATCATGGGTCCCTTGATTCTTCTGTACTTGATTTTCAGGACAGAGATTCTAATCACATATCTGGTGGTAAAGCTAGAGGACTGGTTGTCCCATCGCCTGATATCACAAATGGTCTTTCTGTTAATGGTAATTCAGGCCAAGATACTCGGTTCCCTAGTAAACCATTGGCTTCAAATCAATTTGGTGGTGAAGACAGAGATAATGGCAACCATTATCATGGTAATGGTTCTCGCCCAAGAAAGTCAGGGAAGGATTTCTCTTCTTCACGGTCGAAGGACAAGAATGGAGGGAGCTTTGAGGCTGATTTGGATATGGGTGAGGGCAAGAATTCTAATGTTTTCAATGAACTGCAAGATCATTCACCGTCCCATGGAATAAAACCAAGGGATGGTAAAAACAAGTTGCAGGAGAAATTTGGGCTCAAGTCTGGTGAAACTGAGAACAAAAATGTCGGCAAGAAAGGTTTTACTGGAAAACCCTCCAATGAGAGTAGTAAAAGGGAGAGTCAGTCAAATTTAAGGGGTAATGATGGCCCAGATGTTAGACTAGATGCTCTTTGCAAAAAAGATTCAATTTCTACTCTCAAGCAGCATTCGCTGCAAGACTGTGATAGTGAAAGGCTTTCAAGGAGGATTCCTTCAGAAAAAACTGATCGAGTGGATACAGGCTCAATTAGGGGGAAGTCACTACCGTTGCCACCCTCCGGAGGAGCTCAAAATGAGATGACGACTCGTTGCCCCCGACCAGCTTCTGGTTCTCACAAAAGCAATGGAGCAGATAGTATACAAGTTGATGCCTCTGAAGGTAATAATGCTGTGAAGGTGCAAGTACAGACCAGAAAGGCTGATAATCAGAATGGAACTCAGCATATCAGTTCAAGACATCATACACAGAATGGGCACAGGGCCAGTCTTGATGCCCCTAGTCCAGTCAGAAGGGACTCCAGCAGCCAGGCTGTTACAAATGCTGTGAAAGAAGCTAAAGATTTAAAACACCTTGCTGATCGTCTCAAGGTTTTAACCTATCATATTTTCGTGATTAGATGTTTATGTTCTCCTTTCTGTGATAATAATGTGTAACACCAATTTTTGCAGAACTCTGGGTCATCTGAAAGTACGGGTCTTTACTTCGAGGCAGCTGTCAAATTTCTTCATGCAGCATCTCAGTTGGAATTGACTAACAGTGAGAGCGCCAAGCATAATGAGAGCATGCAAATGTATAGTAGCACTGGAAAACTATGGGAGTAAGTCAACCTTTAAGCGTTATAAACACTGTTCTTGTGGCACATGCACTGATTTTGGGTCTTAGTGATTCATATCCGTTTGACGTGTACACCTTGCATGCAAGTCTCTGCCTACCCTTGATGGAGCCCTGCAAGTGTTAGATTAGGACCCATAAATAGACTTGTGAAATTTTAGGTATTAATTCTAATTTCAGTTGTGTTTTGAGGTTTTTACCCTCATGTAAGCCTTTTTGGATTGGGTGGGGAGGGTTGACAGAGACTGTACTTTTGGGGTAGGGTTAGTTTTCAAGACATAAGCAGTAATTTTTACAATCTTCTCATACTTAGTGAAGTGGTCTCATCTGTCTTTGCGCGTAGCTATATGCTTTTGGACCATAGTAGGTAAATCATTGTGCTTCATGATCGACTCTCTATATATGGTCATTAGAATAGGTATTGGTACTTACCGTCGTAGCATGAATAGGAGCCATTTCTTGCAGATTTTATACTCTAATGGACTATGGAGCTTCCATGCCTCTTTTTATGCTTTTCCTTATTAGTTTGAATTACCTTGTAGGTTTTGTGCTCATGAATACGAGAAAGCCAAGGATATGGCTGCTGCTGCTTTGGCCTACAAATGCATGGAGGTGGCTTATATGAAGGTGATATATATCTCTCATGCCAGTGCAAGCAGAGATCGTCTTGAGTTGCAAACGGCTTTACAACTGGTTCCTCCTGGTAAATTGACAAGCGTCATAGCTGAGCTATTTTTTTTGGTGCTAAAGGATATGCAAGGCTCTTAATAACCTTGTTTGAGTTGCTGCATATTTGATGTCCTTGTTGCTTTTCTATCAGGTGAATCTCCTTCTTCCTCTGCCTCTGATGTTGATAACTTGAACAACCCCTCAACGGTAGACAAGGTTGCCTTACCCAAGGGTGTTAGCTCTCCCCAAGTTGCTGGAAACCATGTTATTGCTGCCCGAAACCGTCCCAATTTTCTCAGGATGCTCAATTTTGTAAGTACATATAAATCTTCTATTGAAGCTTTAATTTGTTACTCTTATACCAATGCACAAATCTTTATCAAAATATTTCTTTACATCTTTAGCACATATAACATGGTCAAAGAAGGTCATGAACACGAGTTGACTACCAATTTATCTAAAAAAGGGTATTCTCCTTTCACATGTCTACCATAAGAGAAGTGTGGATATCGGCCACTGCATGCCTTTCTGTTATATGCCTCAAGCACAACAAACATATAATGTTTTACCAACTTATCAAGGGGAATTAAATTCTCTCTCTCTCTCTCTCTCTCTCTCTCTCTCTGAGTCTTGCATCCTATTGTCATACATTGCCACATGATTCAATCGCTATACCTGTATATTGGACGGCGAATGAACAATACATGATCAAATATGATGAATTGCAGGCTCAGGACGTAAATTTTGCAATGGAAGCATCAAGAAAATCTCGGATTGCTTTTGCAGCTGCTAATACAAACGTGGGAGACGCTAATCGTTCAGAAGGCATCTCTTCCATTAAAAGGGCTCTTGATTTCAACTTCCATGATGTGGAGGGATTACTACGTTTGGTGCGGCTCGCGATGGATGCCATTAGCTGTTGAAAGAGTCCAAGAGGTTGTGGGATGATTTCAACCCTAGGAAGGTCTGTGAATCTTTGGTCTCATGCCTTAAGGAGGGAGGAAAAAGAGGCTGGCCTTGATACTTCTGCTGAACTGCTTGGAACTTCTGTCGGGGGACTGGTGGTTTCCGTTCCTGTTTGAAATACAGATAAACTCCTATTCGTTTTAGTTTATTTGGTCCTAAAATCTGCTTTCTAGCACAGACAGGGACCAAAGAGGTTATTCTGATCTCAATAATCAATATTCATTTTGAGGTGTTGTGAACAATCATTGATTACGGCTCTGCTGAGAAGATTCTGAGCAACTTCTGAAGGTGGATATGCTTCATCAGCAATGTGATGGAAGACATAATAGTTGTATATAAGAAGAAGAACGTTGGTTCTAAAAACAATAGGGGGTTTGTTTTAAGTTCCAAAACACGAAAGTACAACTTTGGGGCTTCTTTTTTCTTCAGACTGTCAACGTATCTTGATAAGTCGTTATATTGCATCATGTGGAGACAACCTGTGAATGGCAACTTCCAGTATGTGCACAAGCTGTCTTACAGTTTACAGATTGAGACCACACCAACACTATGAGAGAGTGGAAAAAGATGAAAATCGTAGGTATGCTGTTTCTTTAATAGATACCCTCTATTTTCCCCCTCAACTTTTATTTTATTTTTCTTTGTTTTCTTTTTAGTTACCAAAAATTCCTTTTGTAAAAAAAAATAAAAATTATTTGCATTTATTTCTGTCTGAATTTAATTTGGTTATATGTGCAGGTTGTCTTCATCACCGTTGTTGTAGTTAGGATAATTATCCTCTTTGCGATAATAGAGATGAAACCAGAAGAATATATTATCAGAAAATTATTATCACTGCGATGCATGAGCTCGCATTGCTGCACTTGCCTGAGTTTCTTTCCTCAAAGGTTTGTGTAGCTGTAATTGTTGCGAAAATTCGCTGCTTCATTCTATGTGCCTTCATCTCTAACGATTTCTCTGTGTTTTTACTTTCTCCTGCCAGTGGAGATTATGTATATATACAAATCATTGAATCGAGATTATTGAAGATTCTGCATGTGTTTCCGTCTGTAAAGAGAAGGGGATGATTGGATATTATTAGGTCAGTCCTTCAGATCAAACAGGTAAGGTTGTAACGATTTGGCAATGTTTATTTATTCGCCGACTTCAGATCAATTTATGTACTTGTAAGGTGTGAGTCTCTCAAATTAGAAGCATGTGTCTAGAAATTAATTGAAATTACAATTGCCGAGCATGAGAGGAGTGATGGAGAAGATAGTAAATAAATAATAAGAAAAGCATCAATAAATCTATCATCCTGCAACTTGAAAATTAAACATTCTTTCTAAGGGCTAAATATTGTCTATGCACATGATCATCCTTAGTTGTAAATTGAATTTTAAGATATAATATTGGTTTATTTGCAAACTTCCTTCTTAATCTTGTGCAGAAAGAAAGTAATGATGGAACGTTGTATACTTGTATAAATGGTTCATATATAACCCTCCCACTGTTCTATATTGTTTTACCCTATACTTTTAAATTTTAGGAGATTGGTTGATAAGTTGCTAACTGAACAGGGTCTCTGCTTGCAGGCTGAGCAACGGGGATAGTTGCGGCTACGGCAGCTCTCGCTGGTAGGCAACTGAGTTTGATGTGATGTTCTCCTTTTTTCAGTTTTCCCCGATGTGGGTGTGTAGTGTAGTTTCTATCCAAATTATGAACTAGCCACGAAACGGTTGATTGATTACCCATACAGATAACATTTATTATAGGTTTAGACAATAAATTTTTGAATTATTTATTCTTGATTACCCATAGCGATTGTAATTATCCGGGTTTTATTAATAAAGCTTTCGATTGTTTCAAGTGACGACATTGATGGCCAGAGATGCGTGTGTTACGTCAAGTTTCAAACTCAACCTTCTGTCAAATATTCAAGTTTATCTTTAATACTCGATAAAAATTATACAATACGGACAAAAACACTAATAAATTAAGCCTTAACCAATTATTATTATTATTATTATTTATTTTGGTCGAAAATGGAATTCAACCAATAAGTTAAGATGGTATATTCACTAGAAAATATTTGCCTCATCCCTGGAAGTAGAAACTCCTATTTTTCTGCCAATCATAGTTTGACATGTGTGTAGAGATTTTTCCTTGTGTTTTTTATGAATTATTTTTGCATATGTATTGAACTTTGATTTGCAAGAAGTAAGAATACCTTATAGGAGGGAAGCAGTGTCGTTAATCACTCGTTTTGGACTACTTAACAATCTCGAAATCCACCACAGAAATGTAGAACCCAACTCCAAAATCCATGTGTCTTGACGTTTTGGTCCAAAAAAATTTTGGAACTCCAAAATCCAAATGCCAAAATGCATTTCCAGTAAAATTTAATATGATCTGGTGTAATCCAGTACAATCCAACACCTAAATTTTTTAAAAATAAATGATAATCCTTATTGCATGTTATGTGTCAGAGATATGAGTTTTGCTATTCAATTTTCGCATTCCCTGGCTATGTGAATGAATTTTTTGCATTTTAAGATTACATAAATGAATTTTTACATGTTAGGGTTTCATGAACGAATTTTTGTCTATATGGTTTCAAGAATGAAATTTCACATTTCGAATCCACTATAAAATTTTGGAGTTTTACAAAACTTGGGGGTTCCGAAAATGGATTTTCCATTTTTGGTGTTTTGCGAATGCATTTTTTGCATTTTGAGGTTTCCCTAATGGATTTCGTATTTTGGGGTTTAGCTAATGAATTTTTGCATTTCATAGTTTCATGAATAATTTTTCACATTTTTGGGTTTCACAAATGAATTTTCTCATTTCGTGGTTTCGCTAATGAATTTTCACATTTCGTGGTATCAAGAATGAATTTTGGTATTTTGGGTTTCGCTAATGAATTTGTCGCATTTTGGGGTTTTGTAAATGAAATTCCTCAATGAATTTTCGCATTTCAGGGTTTCACTAAATACTTTTCGTATTTTGGGGCTTCACATAAATCTACGCATTTTGGGGTTTTGTTAATGAATTTTCGCATTTTGGGGTTTTGTCAATGAATTTTTGCATTTCAAGGTTTCCCAAATGAATATACACAATTTAGGGTTTCACTAATGAATTGCCGCACTCTAGGGTTTCATTAATGAATTTTCACATTTTGGGGTTTCCCAAATGAATTTTTGCATTTCGGAGGTTTGCATTTTGAGGTTGTGAAAATGAATTTTCGATTTTTTTGGAGTTTCATGAATAAATTTTCACATTTTTGGTTTTCACTAACAAGTTGTGGTATCTTGTGGTATCTTGGGGTTTCGTTAGTGAAGTTTCAAATTTTGGGGTTCTGCACATGAATTTTTCGCATTTGGGGCATTTGCAAATGAATTTTTCTATTTTTGGTTTCTAAATGGTATTTGTCATTTTGGGGTTTTGTTAATAAATTGTTTTGAATTTCGCTAATGAATTTTCACATTTTGAGTTTTGCTAACACCCGAAAGGCAAAAAATTAATTTTTGAAACTCCAAAATGCGAAAATTCATTAACGAACAAAATGAGACAATTCATTAACAAATGCCAAAAATGCGAAAATTTATTTGTGAAACCCCAAAATGGGATTATTCATTTGTGATACCCTGGATTGTGAAAATTCATTTTCCAAACACCGGAGTGGAGTGCGAAAATTCATTAGCATAAACAGAACATTAGCCTATGAGATTCACTTTTGACACGTTTTGCTTTTGTTCTTACTCAGAATAATGTAACACGCTAATCAATCACATTGGTTAAAGTTTGATAAAATTAAAATTTCTATTTGAAGCTTAAAATTCCCAAAAACAGATACACAGCGAGTCCAACAGCAATCAAACTTTGCAATCTATCTCAAGTTAAAAACTTTTCATGCTGTTTGTTGAATCTATATCCAAAATAGTCGCCGGCAATCTCAAACTCAACGACTCGGACAACTATCATGACATCATCATCCTTATAAAGAAAGGGGGCTGCTGCGTTTAGAAAAGCATAAAACAGAATTATCGAGTAAGAGCGACAACAAATTTTATCAACATTCCCATATATGGATGGATATATGGGTGAATTGCACAAAACTGGCTTTTAATAGCGAAGAATTGCACAAAAAATTCTCCACTTCTTTTCAAAATCCTAGAATTTTCTAAAAGAGCTGCACATAATTTACAGCAGATCCCAACTCCAAAGAAACTACGATATTCTTCATGTTCCTGTACTTCAGGGCATCAATTGTACCTCGACCACCATATCCCAAGTAAAATGAAAACTCCGACACTCAGATCATTCATGCAAGATACTTGAACATGTTAGGGTTTTCCTTGTCCCTCTCCAGGTAGTCACGGGTGATGAGATCTTCAATGCGCTTCTTAATTGCTTTGATGTCAGGCTGCACATAATTCAACCATAACCATGTTAGAGAGATTTGGAACAAGAAATCACACAAAAACTATTTATACGGATATGAGAGACTTCCATTTTATTCTTTTGGCTAAATTAGCCATGACCTCTAACAAGGACTATTGACTGAAATCTTGAACTTCAAGTTAATTATTATTAAACCACATATGACACCATTCTCCTGAATTTAAAAGCTGAATTTAATACCTTGAACATACGTCCCAACTGCTCAACACACTCCATGACTAATTGTTGATGACCCAAAACTTTCCGACTCTTCATAATCCTCACAATTGCAGCATCAATAGCATATCGCCTGTCTTTGTCAACATCTTCAATTACCTTCTTCCTTTCATCCACTGGTGGGAGAGGAATCTAAGGATTTAAAATTTAAAAAGAAAAAAAATTGTCAGAGGTATGAATCCTCAAATCCTAATCTAAAATTGAAGTGAAAAAAGTATAGAGGGATCTCAGACCTTAATTCTTCTCATTCGGTCTGTGAACTTAGAGTTGAATTCAAAGCTGTCAGTTGGAGAGATAGTCTTCGTATTTGGCTCCTTAATGAGGATCTTGTACTTGGCACATGACAGCGAATGAAGCAATCTAACCAAGTCGTCATGAGTAAGGTTCAACTGAGTCAATATCTCTGAATAGTTCAATTTATCAGCAGTATTGAAGAGAAGCAGGAGAGCAGCCTGTAAAAGGCGGCAAAGAAATGTAAAGTCCCCATACTAGAAAACATCTTGGAAAGGAGACATTGTGCCAAGACTCAACAAGTGAACCATAATACTGCCTACTAAGCTACCTGATACGTTGACACGACCAGTTCAATGTTTTTGGGTTCAAACTTGCCATTAACATTGCAAGTTCCCAATGAGTAAATCCATGTAAGTTTTCTGTGCTTCGTTTTTGTTTCATAGAATCCCTTGAAAACTTCAACACACTTCACCTGAAATGAACACATACAACAAATTCCTTAGCCAACATTTAAAATTTTCAAGCATAAGCTATATTTGCTAGGGAAATCTTAAACAAACTAAATATGGACGCATATGTTACCATCTCTTCAGGAAGGTTCAGATCAAACGATTTATAACTTGGCCAGTAACCAGTTGTAAGCACAGTGACCGTTAAGTCCATCCCAGGATTTACGTCAGGGTTATTGTGAAGATATTCCTCAAAGTTGGCCTGATTGTCCCGAGCTAATGTCAAATCTGTGACCTGCAAGAAAAATCCAATGCCAAATTTAATCTCCTACCACAAGAGTAACATACAGAAAGACACCCAGAGAAAAACAGGTCAACTCACCATTCCCTCCATTTTTGAGGTGAACTGTCCACCACATTGCTGCTTAAGCTTTGTCAGAATACTTTTTTCATGGTCCTCGTTGGCACTCCGATCAAAAAGTAGCCGACGGGCAAGTTTTTTTCTGTGAATAAAAAATAATATATTCGTTTATGACTTGCAAATACATACACACACATATGGGAGTGCTAGACACTTGCCAGTAAAGCATTTTAATAAGGTATCTACCATTTTCTAAGTCATTGGATGTAAATTCAATGGCCAATATGATTGTGGCACTTGCTTACATGACCTAAGACTTTGTACTATTTTGACATGTCAAGTGCCTTATTAAAACACTAACAGGCAAGTGGTCTAACTAGAATTGAACTTGTCGGTGACACATGAAACCGAATCCCCCCCAAATTGAGAAACAATGTTCTACCTGTAGAATTCTGCAAAAAGATCCTTGTCACTGATATAAGCAAGAAGCTTAACTACCTGGAAAAATTCAATGACAACCGTAAGATTAATTGAAAAACCAACTGAATTCTGCAAGAATCCAAACATAACATCAGCAACAAATGAAAACCATAATAAGAAAAAACCCAAAGAATAATACCTTCTCAAGTGTTTCTTCAATGGCCTCGTCACTCAACTTCTCACTCCCACCCTTCTTGAGGATATTATCACAGAATCCAGCAAGTAATTCAGCACTTGAACTCCCAGAAACAGCTTTATTGCAAAATACCTCAAAAGCCTCTTTCAGAGCCTATGATGCAAACAAATGAAGAGGGCCTTTTAGATTAAGTGATAAGATCAAATGTAAATGACCAGTAACTACAGCACCAACCTTGTGAAAGAGAGTGTGGTTTAAAAAGCAATCGGTGACATATGCCATATACTTGTCATGCAGCTCAATTATTTTTCTGACAAGGACCTGAAGACCCCAAACTTAAGTCAATCATGGACTTCCAATCACTTCTAAAATTCTTAAATATAATAATTGAATAATGTACCTGTTCCTGTGTGCCAGCTCCACTTGAAGCCTGCAGAAGCATTGTTGGTACCACTTAGCATCATAATAATAAAAAGCAGGATAAACAACTAGCTCAAGCATGAACCCATGCTAACAACATAATCACACACCATCACACATAA